TCAGAAGATCTCATTCTCAAGCAAAAAAATCTTAGGATACGGGCTTAAACATTTAAAAATAAAGGCAGTAAATGTATTGAGCATATAACAGTGCAAAAACATTCTTAGTAGAGACAGGCGGGGCTGAAAAAACTGAAAAAGGAAACGTTAAATTAAACGCAAATTAATACAAAATAAACTGATCTTTGGCTAACAAAACTTTGGCATGAACATAATTCTAAAAAAAGTGAAATTTTGCAAGACTTGCTTCACCGCAAGATATAATCGTGGAACTTAAAATTCATCTGTATTGAACTTAAAATGGCGCAGTTCAATGATTTGGTAAGTTTTAAACCAATTCAAAATTCATTTCAGATCTGTGAGTTAAGCCTTACTAATCGTGAAATTGCGCACTTTTAACAACGACCAACGGTACCACAGCGAATACAAAGCAAATAATTAGTCGAAAATACACAGAAAAAAAAGATAGGAACAAAAACCGTAACTTGAAACAGAAAGGAACAAAAATTTCGAAAATGCAATGATAACATATCTAAAACTGGACACAGAAGCAATCACAAGTTTTGAAACAGAAAATTTGTTGAAAATGTCTTGAGATCAAAATAATGCGCTTCAGTTTTTACAGTTAGATTTGACTCGCACATTTTATGACGGCAGGTGCTCGAACATTTATACTCAACCACTAAATATTCTGGTAATTCAGAGATAAAACTGAGAGGATATCGAAAAATAACGAAGCTCAACTCGAAGAGAAGATTCTAGTAATTGAGAGATAACGAGCAATAACGAAGCTCAACTCAATGAGAAGATTCTAGTAACTGAGAGATAACGAGCAATTATGAAGCTCAACTCAATGAGAAGATTCTGGTAACTGAGAGATAACGAGCAATAATGAAGCAAAGAAAACCAGTAAAGCCGATAGGGCGTGCCAACCAACCTTGTGCAGCGCCGGCCGCAGTCCCGACACACGCTACGCTAACAGCAGAAGAAAAAGAGCACAACAACGCGTCCACAATATCGCCTCGGGACAACCACTAATAAGAGTAGCGGTAAGAGGAGTATACGACCTTATAAGAACACTCCGTTGATTTGATACCGAAACGGTTCTATGTAAAAATTTCGACGTCTACTTAGCAATTCCGCAATTATAAAATGTTCAGGAACATACGACAGAATTTTAGTTTCACGGTCCCTTTTCCTGACTGGTTGTTCCTTTGATTTGACGATATTACGTGCGGGATATGATTGTGTGCAGGGAGTGATAGAAATTAGGGTGTACCTACTTGAGATACGAACTTTACACAAACACAATACTGACAAAAAAAACAAGCGAGTTAAATGTTATGGCGTTGAATAAATAAACAAGATCGGCTACCGCCATCTTTGGACAACTTCGAGGAGGTCGTAATCTTGCCAGGTGTTAGGAAAACTGACCTGTACATAATTATATTTGCTAATTATTGGACGACTGTGCAACAAGGTATCATAAGAATTGATAACCTAGCGTTTTAATAAAAGTACAGGTTTTCATAAATTAAAAATGGATAGTAAAATGTGCCGTCCACCGTCCATTGCCGACAAATCTCAATTACCTTGTACTAGAATCAACTTTTAAAAATGCTTCACAAATAACATTTCTAGTACGTATAAGATAAAAATTTCTCCGAAGTCAGGCACATTCTCAGAGGTTTCCAGCATTTACGGCGCTTCCATTACAGGTCGCAGTACTTTAATTCTTCAATACTACTAATTTTCTTTCGTAATAGTTTAATAAAAAAACAACGATTTTCACTGAGCTCATATTTCTCATACCGTTCCCACATCACGCATATAAATATGTACCTAGAGTTCTTTCGTACGATATATACGGTCAAACTTCAACGCAGCGTATAAATATGTACCGTACCTAGCGACGATTACAGAGTTCTTTCGTACGAACATCAATGCAGCTCAACTTTCAGGCTTTCCGCTCACTATTCTGCGAATCGTGCTTGAAAATAATACTAGCGGGTAAAATCAGCAGCGTAGGCAGTGCAAAATCTGAGCTCGAGAGCAAATAACGACGTCGGCCAATACTGAAGAATGCGTTGCAGCGCAAAATGTTTGTAGCGAGACGCGTGGTCACGGCTCAGTGACAGCGATAACGGATGCATATAATAAAGATCCAGGGAAATATTAGGAGTCCTGGAAGAATAATGTACACTGTTCGCAAAAACAGTGAAAAAAACGGTCTTACCGGCATTCCAGTGACTAGCCGCCCAGTGAAATTAAACCGTTTTGCAGTTTTTTTTTCAGAGGATACTCTGGTTCCTAGTGTAAAATTAGAATAAAAACGGCAATACGGTGTTTACTTTCCCGTGCCGGCTGGTTACTGAAATGCCGGTAATGCCGTTTAACGGTGATTTTTCTAACAGTGTAATACCACAGAGAAAATGAGAGAAATTGCCTGCAATAAAACAAGAAAACAAGTAAGGAATGCCACGCTGACAGTTAGCTGAGGTTCTCAAGGAAGCTGCTGCACAAAACTCTCAAGGCAGATAGAATTAAAAGTATCCTTCATCACAAAAAGTTATTGGAGTGAAGAAACTATGTAAGAACCAAGACAAATATCCCGAAAAATGCATAAAAAGAAACGTTTCTAAGTAGTACGATATCACTGGCAAGGTAGCAAGAAGGCAGCTTATACATCATCATAAACTGGGGTCCTTACCATTACTTTACACAATCATTCTTTGACGATCAGCTATCGCTAGCCATAAATAAAAATTGCAAGTCAATTGCTTAATTATGGCAATCAAGACGATATTTGGATTCTATTTATAAACCGAAGATGCCCTGAAGATTCTTTCCCCTGATTCGGAAAAACTTTTCCGAAATCGTAGAGCACAGTTTATTCCAATCACTATACGCTCTATGATCAAAAACTCAGCAGTCGATTCCCCGTCCATCCGTTCACCACCGTAGTTCACACGAGCCAAAGTCAAGCATCTCGATCTCGTTCTTTTTGCATTGGAAGACACTCGTGCTTCAAACCAGCAACGTCAATAGCATACGCCTGTACAAAACTGGGATTTCATATTGTTCCCAACAAGGCCATTTAGCTTGGCTCAACGAATTAGGAGTCAGCAGGCATCCAGCGCAACTCTCACGGCAGCACCAACCTTTAGCAAAAATAAAATGTATTTTAATGCATTTATCATACGTACTAATACACGCACGCCAGCCACTTCCATACAGCTGATAATTGGCTGTTTTAAGGTACAGCCAACACAAACAGCCGTACAGCCAACACAATCAACCGTACAGTCAACAAAAATAGCTGCACAGCCCACACAATCAACCGTACAGTCTACACAAATAGCTGTACAGCCAACACATTCAAGCGTACAGTCAACAAAAATAGCTGTACAGCCAACACATTCAAGCGTACAGTCTACACAAATAGCTGCACAGCCCACACATTAAAGCGTACAGTCAGCACAATCAACCGTACAGTCAACACAATCAACCTTACAGCCATCAGCTGCACTGTACAGCCATCAGCTGCACTGCACAGCCATCAGCTGCATTGTACAGCCATCAGCTGCACTGCACAGCCATCACACCGCCCCCGCAGTGCCCCCAGCACTCAGTACCCACCTTGGGAAAGCTCGTCCGAGGCGTTGCCGCTGCCTGGAGAATCTGTCAACAATACAGAGATTTTCAGAAGTGTAGTTGAACGTCAACATTCAACATCGATAGTTTATTCAATGAATACCGTTATTCATCAAGTTATACAATAACACTTCATAGGACAAGAAATCGCCAGGAGATCCACTTTGAAACGTCTCTATATTTAACTGTATCCATTTGAAACATTGATATAGATATATGGATTCAACTTTTACATATTGTGTACATCTGATTATTAAAATGTGCCGCATGTATTTGGAAGTGGAATGAAGTTTTCTGTAGATTCTTATTGTCCAGCATTTCAACGCTCACATTAAGCTCGGCAAACTCCGAAGCTGGCAATGAAGATCAAGGAAATCAATGAATACGACAAAAAATTCAAACTTGAGAGATTAGTTACGGAGCACAGTGTATACCTATAGGTGAGGTGTATACAGTGTATATAGTGTATAGCTATAGGTGAGGCGTGTGCTAAGTGAGGCGTGTGATAGGTGAGGCGTCTTCTAACTCTGGCTAAATTTCAGTCGTTGACCACTAACAGCAAATTATCAGGACTTCAAATGTGGTTATCAATAACCTTTTAAATTACAGTATCTTAAAATCGAAACAAATTTACGACCTTTTCTAATTACACCATTTGTAAGAAATTAAATTTCTACACGAGAAGAAACGATGCTAAAACCCCAGCGAAGCAGCATCTTGGAAATGATTTGCAAACTTCCTCGTATGGCTGGGAAGTTATTCATCAACACGGACTGGAACATCATGAGCAACAGTTCATCACGGACTGGACTTGAACATCAAGAGCAACAGTTCATCACGGACAAGTCTTAGTAGTGATCAACACCCGAGGTACAACACTATCAAAATTCCGCAAAGAAATAATATTAAGGAGCAGACCACCATACCATGAAGAAAAAAATTCCCCAGTTGAACACTAGAAGTAATTACTTACCTCACGGTAAGAATCCAATCTACTCTTATGAACATAAACTGTGCAAGTTTAAGGTCGTAGAAATACTTTATGCTTGTACAATCTCGAGGTGAACCAAAGAAATTATACCTTCAGAATACCAGTTAAGCTTCCTTCAGACAAATGAGATTATTTACAGATAGCGATGCAATTTCAGCCCCAATGTGGGTCATCCTCAGTTTTGCCTGTCAAAGCGGCGAGGTCCTTGCTGTGCTATGGGTAAGAAAGTGCCACATTTCGACGTGTGCGACCCATTAATTATTCCGAGTGTTTGATCCAATAATATACACACAATGGGCTCCAAATAAACAATCGCTCAGTACTAGTAGAAGCAGGGTAAAAGAAACGCATTACGTAGCATTAACAGTTACTTATTACACCTTAAGAAACAATTATTGGTAAATTTTTCAGACATCAAATGGAACTATGAATAGAACTTGACACACTAACGCTTCGCCGCAACTATGAAAGTCGTCAACGAGCATGTCATCTTATTTAAATTGAAAAGGGGACATTCTCGAAGTCAGATAAAGTTAGCCATGGGCAGAAATAGAATTGCAATTTCATTCAGAAAATCTGTTTTCAATTTAAAAACGAGTTGAAAAAAGAACTGGTCAGCAAAAAGAAATGCCGCAAATTAGCATTGCTAATGACACCCCTGAGGATATGAATAAATTATTCGGCTATAAATTTAGTCACAGCAAATAATTCTGGTGATTTTATCCGTCCAACTTCCACAGCTAAATCGCAACACTTGCACAGACCAAGAATCCGTCACAGAGTCCCTTTGAATCCTCCACAGAAATTAGTCCCCTTGAATCCTTCACAGAGATATCCTTCCGCATGTTATATCCTTCACAGGGATTTTCAACTGCAACATGCAGTGAATCTTTTCGCTCAGCAATACACTTAGCATCTTTCCAAATGTGTAAAATAATTCAATGTTCATTTATTTAGAACGGAAGAAACTGAGACGGCCTGATGAAGATTCAAACGACTTGTGCGGTGACACAAAGGAAGCTGATGTATCTACAGTTCAAAATAAGTGCCTCGAGGTTTATTATTGAGCACAGTAACTACAATAGCGATAATAGTTACAGAGAGGATAGAGTAGAGCAAGGGAATGCAAGAATTACAGGTAATATATACTTAGGCAAGCTAAAGCTACCACCATAAAGTTTACTTCTACAAGACGTCATACCTAACAAGATTACGATAAACCTTCGTAAGTCATAAATCAACCCGTAATATCTAGAGAACAATATGTAAGTAGAAGCATTCGTAACAAATTGAAGGCGGCAATCCTGCAAATAAAGATCCTCTTGAATGAAGACACGATGCGAAAACTATAAAAAGAACAAGGAAGTGAAGCAAGACGTGCTACACCCGCCATGTCGACCAGGTGGACAAGTAATTGGTACGTAAACTGAAACACAAAACAACATATCCGATACAAGAAAAACATAACATACAAGTATCTGGACCTGACAATTTTGTTAGAGATCGTTTTGAAAACGCGCGAAATACTAATTAATCTGGTTATATCGCCAGTCTTGACGTGGTCAAAATTACAAAAAAAACTTCCAGCATCTTGAATAAGATGTTATTATCGTAAATAACCCTGCATGTGAAATAAGCGTTAGAGTTTTGACGCCATAGTATTGCACACAATAGGTTGGGACACTGGTAGTTTGCCCCCTAGATTCCAAGACAGATTCGGTAATGTGGTTGACGTAAATTCATACTTGGTCATGATGAGAAGTCGAAGACACAAGCCCGTGACGACATCTCATACCGAATGTTATGACAACATGGTTATCTAATGGTTCAATAACTGCGTTCAAATTAGCTGGGCGGTCTTTAAGGAAACGGGGGAGCGACAATAAGGGTTGGGAAGCTCAGCAACAAAGATTTTAAGCCACTAAATATTGAATCAAGAGAAGAAATCGTAAGTTCTCAAGAGATCAAGTCATGAGGTAGATCAATTTGAACAGAACTACAAGATCAAAGTCAGCACAATAAACTCGCTCGCGAATCTTTCCAATCATCATACGGTTTCCGAATACGTAATTTCCTCCTCTTCAGTTGTTTACTGGTTTTCGAATGCCAGTTTATAGGAGGAAACAAGCAAACCCCTTACTAACTCCAACATGGAAACCTCTGTTCTCAGCACAACAATCAAGTCCCGTGCCTTCACCTGTACATCAAGTTCATTAAAGACATCAGACGAAACTTGTCAGCTGTGAACAATGATGACCAAGGCATGACGAACACTTTCTGATAGTGTGATTCGAAGCCCAAGTTGCATGGGTTGACTTACACTAAACCAATAAAACTAATTAATTGACTAACGTAAAAATAATAGAAACGGTAACAACGAAACAAAAAGATTATTGATATTGAACTGTATGATAATACCTGAGTGGTAAGTATTTACACAGCAGCGATCAAATAACGGCCTGAAAAAGCTCATGATCGTGTATATTATATTCCCAGAGCTGATAAACAAGAGAGGTTCTACTGTCGGAATTAGCGCTTTCCGAGCACGGGATTTTTCAACGTCAGTTGTACATAGCCAGATAAAAACTCTTCAATACAAATATGTTACAGACAAACTTTTAAATAAATTGCAAATATGAGACTGAAATTACACCAGAAAACTAAGACGGCCGCGGGATTATGAGGCAGGTGTTTGGCTCATAGCTTCACAGTATCAAAGTATTAAGACGGACACAAATATATCAATCTGAGAGATGAAAATAATTATTTGCTTTGTGGCTTTTAAGATAAAATTTAATCTGATCTAGTAAAAATTCTGGGCACAAATTCAGGCATGTTAAACTTCGCAGCATGAGCATCCTCAAGAAATAGCTTCCCGTTTTGGTCAGCTAACGATCGAGCTTTCCCGACAAAAATTCTGAATAAATTTTGACGCAAAATACAGACACGAGAGGCGAACACAGAACAACACATGAATTTGTACAAGAGGAAGAGACACAGACTACACCAGCCTACCGCTGTGCACAACTCCCAGTATACGAAGATCTTAACTCTACAAGATAAATCGTATAACTTCGAAGAGAGAAGAAAGCTTCTCGTGGTGTGGCGCCGAGGTTCATGGCCATGCGTCCGTAGGCTAAGAGGTGCCCGACAGTTGGTGAAAGCCAAAGTTCCCGCATTAACTTCAATGTGACGCGCGAATCGATATCGTTTTCCACCGGCCACCACAAACGTGCCCAAATGTTGCATTTTGCCCCGATGTCTGACTTGCGGGTAACATGGCTAAGCTGAATAGGCGCATGCTGCACCAGCGAATAATTTGCAACTGAGAAGTAATTTGATAGGAGCATTGAAGTAGCTGCAACAAGCCGTTGGTCGCGCACACCCACGTATGAGAGACACAAGAATCTCACTGATACTTACATCTACAAAGAAACTTACTCAGGTAACACGCAGAATTGCACACAACACACTATTATAGTACATCCCAAAACATTCAGTAGCTGTATAATTAACTTACTGGCTATTACACGTCGTTTGCATCTATTACCTTCAGACGGTTGTCCTTAAGAACTAGGTTACCTGCAAATTGTTGCATTTAATCCCTATTTTACCTGCACTGGTTTACTCGTAATCGATATAATAGGCGTTAAACGCCACATACCGTCCAATAATAGCCTTAATTACTAATTACCTGCACGTATTCGCCCTGAAGCACGCATTACCTGCCACGTTATTCACTATCTTAACAGCGTCAACATCTTATCAACAACTGGTTGAGACTTCAAACAATTAATAGAAAAGCCCTGAAGAAATTGACACATTATTGAAAATAACATTATGCACCGACATTGTAATTCAATATTTCGCAATTAAGCTAAATCTCTCTGTACCAAAACTAACAGTTTATAATATCCTTTAAAAAACAACGGCAAATTAGAATGCAATGCCCCGTAAGTTATCGTAGTAGTACTTATTGGTCTATTGGTCAGATGTACGCAGTAAAATGAGTACTATAAGAAACCGTGATAAAAAAAAATCTAGACGAGAACATTAACAATCCTGGTAAGAGATCCTGAGATGTCATATTTCTTCTGAGGTAGAATAGACTGCACACCAAGCGCTGCGATCAAAATCCCAAAACCGAAACGTCAAAACCACGACTAATCTGCCATAAAATGGTAAACAACTCTCGACGGCAATTTTTTGATCAAAAGTCGGCACCACATTCCAGTTTCCGACTATGACGTCAGTGTGCCCCATCAAGTTCCCGGCGGCGCCACGTAGGGCGGCATTATATTGATTTACATTTTATGGATTGTACTCCACCAGACCACATGTTTACCAGCGCAGCGCTCTAACTGGTGCAACCGTGCAAAGTTCGTCAAAATGCATCCCAATGCCCTGATTTACAGATTACCAAGCAACAAGTATTTCCTACTTTACAATGCTATTGAACTTGAGCGAAACACATGGCCCATGGGCATGTATAGATTTATCTTCCCCAGGTGTGCAGAAGAACCTCTTAACTTCCCATGTCGACTCCCATTCATTCCGCTTTAGAACCTGGACATCAGTAAGCTAGAGTCGGTCGCGTTGCAGCGGGCGCTCATAATGTTATCTGGATCGTGGTTTATAATTCATACAACACCCTGAGAAGAGTTATATGAAATTGTAAGGCTTGCAAAATGCCTATAACTTTGAATGAACTTAGCCTCATTGCTCTGGCGTAAAGATTAATTTTAAACGCAGCGCAATACTTTCATCGATAGCAGGGCACTAAGAGCTCACATCGATGCCATCTGGTCCCTCCTGGCACGCCTATTTCCCTGCACTACAACAGCCATGGACGACATTCCTACCTGCACCCGTACACTATGACCCGTTATGTCGCAGAGCGATAATTAAAATAGAATACTTCAACATTATTTATCCCGTAATATATTATTACGCAAATAATCAACCCTATGAAGGCAAACCACTTCACCATTGAATGGAGTGCCGAAAACTTCAATTTGTTCATGCTATAAGCTTAGACAAATCGTCAATATGATAATTGTCAAAAATTCCATGCATTTCTTACACTCGTTTTTCAACTAACCTCTAAAAATAAATCAATAAAGGCTATCAATAGGAAGAATGCGAACATATTTTGCAGTATTACACGACAAACTTGTAATTCTAACGCATTTATGTAGACCAACGATACCGATGAGGACAAAAAGTTCCGAAATGTAAGGAATATCACTTGGATTTTTATCAAGCTGAACGTGTGTCATTTTGCTAAGCAGTATTGCGACAATGGAGAACATGTGACAGGCCACTTCACATCGTGGTTATAGGTCTAAGAGACAATCAACTGAGCATGAGAGTTGAAGCATATATGACGTGTTAGTCAATTGAGGTAGGAAGAATTTTAGGACGTTATCTCCACGACAAATATAGCTCTTGAGTGGAAATATGTAGGAGAAGGGCGTAAGAGGTATTTAGTCTGCGCGTAGCACAGTAAAAATTACACCCGACACTTAGGTTCCACCATAATGGTTGCTACTCGATAGGAGTACAAAATATTCAGAAATTTAAGGGGGATTCAACCTAATAAAAAATTTCTAGTGCAAGAGATAAGTTAACCTCCAGTGACCATTGCTTAAATTCGCCGCATACAGACATAACATACACTGAATTTAATATCTATGATACCTAACTTGAACAGGTTTCGAATAACTTTGTTAAATATACTTCAATCAATTAGAAGCTGAACATCAATCGCTTTTCCCAACACAAAAATAAACTATCACAAAAGTATAGAGTTTAGAAGAGTTTTACCAAAGAAATAAAAAGGTGCAAGCAGATCTATGACATTCATATTGATCGCTTCTAATATCTAACTATTGAAATGCAAATCCAGTGTTGATATAAATAGGAGTAACAATTTCATCTATCCAACAAAATTAAGACGTAGTGATGAAAGATTGACGGATATCAAGCCTTAGCCAGTTCCTACTTTGTACTAAAATTTCCAACAGAAAAATGGCACTGAGTTCGAGCTCGAAACTGATAATAATCGAAGGCATTAATATTTCCGAAAACGCGTAAAGCTTGGAGCTGACAGACCTTCCTTTTCCCACAAAAACAGTCTGGTTTACCCGTATCATATTAACTAACACAAGCAAGAAGTGCACTACATTCAACTGCTCGGAATTTCTTGTTGCAATTCAACGAAGAGCATCAAACGTCAAATTGGCGTGGAGGTAACAGAACACAATCTTAACCTCACAATATAACAATAATTCATCAATACCACACAAATACATCGACAATTTGAAATAATTCATTAGCTAAGCATTATTGAATGCGGCCTGCGGAGTCACTGATATCGGAATTAACAATACAGCATTACAGGGGAAAATAATTCCTACAGAAAGGACGTTCGTGATGCTTGAAACTTCAAATGAAACCAAGTAGCTAAGGCATTCAGAAATACATTTCAAATGAAAAGAAAAGTGTTTAGTGTTGCATCATCAAAAAACAACGACCCTGTTCACACATAGATCAGTGGTTCTGCTGCATGAATGACTTCTTCCATTTGGGGTCAGCGAGAACAATTAAAGCATCGCATATACAGAGAACAAGATACGAACGTATACGTTATTATTAATAAGATTGTTTTACCTGCACACAAGTCTTGTTAAGTCACGGTCAAACTGAGGTAGTAGTTAATTATAACGAATCTTCTAAAGGGTACTTCGCTTGACTGAATGACGAACACAATTCAACGTACCTGTTGGTATTGTACGTGCTTAGCGCTTGTACATTTGCGCGATTCTCAAAGAATACATGTTGAACTCAAGGGGGGTGTACTTGCTGTACGTGTATACTGATACAACATGCGTAATTACAACAGCATACAATAGCCTAATACCTTCCCAATAACATATAATAGCTATATTCCTACCATCCAGCAGTGTTTGATAAGTTGAATCTGCAAAAGAGACCCGACTGCTAGCGTCAAAATGCTATGGCATTATTGGGATGAAACGCTGTTAGGCGTCATTCAGTTGATAACAATAATGAGCGTTTATAAGATCGTCATCATATATAGTCCGTTAAGATCATCCCATACATAGTCGTTGATGCCAATAGTCTTGAAACATCCGCTTACAAGTAGCAGATAAGAGACTGACGTGCACGAGCGTTTAAGCACCAGGAAGTGAAAGTTTGTACACTACAAAATCGAGGTATGTAGTTCGAATGTAATAAACTGCATAACTTGTACAGGTGCAGAAGAGAGCGCGTTATATTACAGTTGTACTAGTGGCTTGACACGGTTTGATTAGAAGCTTCAAAGCAGGTCTTCACCGACAATATTGGGCTCAACATAAGTTCTGGCATTATTTCGTCGAAGAATTTTATGCCGACAGCACGCAACTTCGAACTACCTTCGAAAATTTACCTCGCAAATATCTCAGCCCAAATCAATATCACAAACTGTGAATGCCTTTGTTGAATTTACATCCACAGATTATGAAAACATGAATCCTGAAATTTCGTCACATCGACCGTCAATCAATGAGAGTGCAATCAGAGATGCAAGTTAGAACATCCGTAGTCAGAAGCGATTCCCTACACCAAGACACAAGTTATTCCAACATAGAAGAAGCTGTTACAGTCGCAACACTTCTCTCGTATCATGGATACTAGCGCCTCAAAGTTAGTAGCCAGCTGATCAGTCTGACCAGGGTTGGTGCAGGTGGTGAAGAGAGAGCTGGTGTGGTAACATTACACCTTCTTGAGCCAGCTGTAGCTGTTGCTGCATTTGTTGCATCTGCTGTTGTTGAAGATTGTGTTGCTGCTGGAGATGATGTTGCTGTTGTTGCTGCTGCTGATGGTGATGTTGTTGTTGCTGCTGTTGCTGAAGCGTCTGTTGAACGTAGCTCTGCTGCATCTGAGTTTGCTGGCGTTGCATGCGTTCTTGCGTGGCTTGTCGTCCCTTCTTAAGCTGACTAATACGTACGGCCAGACGCCGGGACTGGTCGAAGTATAGCTTTCGTAATTGCTTCATCACTTCCGTGGCAGCATCGAAAAGTTCTCTGTCGCTGGCTTTGATGTCCTTGCAGTCCATTTCTTCAGGTGTAAAGGCCTCAGCGCCACTGCTGCTAGTCCCAGCCATCGCTTCACCTCCCGAAGTCTGTTGCTGCTGCTGATGCTCGCGCTGTTTACGAGCTATGGCCGCTTCAGCTTTACAAATTCTCTTCAAGGTTCCTGGATTATCAACCTCGAGTAAGATAATTCTGTGCTGGAGTTGTGACAGCTGCGAGCGAAGTGAATCAATGTTCTCAAATGTCTCAATAAGTCGTGAAGTAGCGCGTTGTCGTTTACTCTTGCCTCCCATGGTGGTGTAGTTGTGCGTAGCGTTGCGGCAGTAACTCCACTCTTTGGCTACGGAGCGCAGCAGTTGGAAGTGAGGTGTGCCCTCGAGACCCGTGTACGCGCTAAGCAACGGCCCCGGTGCCGGCAGCTGCAAGCATTCTTCCAGAAAACGCCGGATGAGTCCCCCCACTGGCTGCTGACCACTCACACGGCTCAGCCCTGAGGGGGAAACACACCCATCACTTCTTTGTCGCGTTCGTCTTGCACCTAACACATGTTTCGTATCGTGTGACTCGACACCGTGCTTCTCCAGTGCTATTGTTTAATTCTCATACTTAATTAAGCATTTTTCCAAATTAAAGGCTTTTTTTTGGTGGTGAACGTACTGGCGTCAATTGACATTTGCCAGAAAAATTCGAGTAAATTCAAGTAGACATTTTTCTCAATTGATTTTTAGGTCTTACTCGAGTTGCCATCCAATTTTTTATTTTCCTTTCTGACGTAACGAACGATCGTAATCGTAACGAGTCTTGTACAACGATTCGATTTTAAATACAAATTTTAGATTTGTTTCAATTTGCATTAAACACATTTGTTCTCAGGAAATGAATTAGGTACTTCAAATTGATTACTTGAAATTTAATATTCCTGACATTTCTTGAACAAGATTTGTGCATGTTTTCAGAGGTTACGAAACAGCAGCACTGTAAACACGGCACCAGTAACACACAATAACAACAGCAGGCGAACAAATTAAAGTGAAAGCAAACAGCACAAGCACGAACAAGCGCTCGGCACTTGGACTGCTTGCTTCACTCATCAAAACGTGATAATTAAGAGAACGAAACACCGTTTTTGGAAGAATGCTTGCGCCGTGAGCTCGCTTCAGACATGATCGCTAGTGAACTGATATATCCTAGCCTTATCGACTACATACATCAGAGTAGCGAGAGGGACAAGGAGCCGTTCACGTTTATTGTCCTCGCTCTCGTATCTTCATACATTTCAACTATCGAGGGGAGCGAATACCTTATACAAGGCAAGCGTATGAGATCTTGTGCAAAGGAAGTAAACGAGTTTCAATTTGTTACTAAAATTCTCCGACGTCACAAACATTCTCAGTCCAGCTACGGGTTTGCTCAAAAGCAGAAAAGCGGCATGCACAAAAGAGCTAAGGATGCCCAAGAAAAAAAAATATCTTACATGCGCAATAAAAAATTCAACTGCCAGCACAGGGAAAGAAGAAACGTGCAAATAATGTGAGTGTGTGATGAGACAAGTTCTCAGGGCATTGCTGTCTTCAGCATTCAATAAAAGTTGAACAAGAAACGAGGTGTCATGTTTAAAGGTTCGAAAAAAGTTAAATAGAAAGGGGAAATAGCCTTTGAGTAAGAGCATAAAAATCATTCTAAACCCGTCGTCAAATATCAATCTGACCGGAATTTAGAACGCAAGTCAAGGTTACATGATCGAGTGATTTGATGTACATCTAGTAGCTAGCATCCCACTGAAGCGAATTGTTAATAACCAAAAACTGGAAATTATTTCACGCTGAAGTGAATGATATCAGTAACAGGGGGCAAGAGCCCACCATAAAAGGAATGCATATCGTGCAAGAAGGAACCCAAAGAGCTTGTTTGTGAATAGATTTGATAGCTAGAAGGAAGACGCAAAAACTCAGGGTGTTGTTCAGCTTTTAGCTTTACACGAAATGGAAATATTGCAGGGCAAACTATACATGGCGTCAAATTGTTCAGATATATAAAAGTGTATTGACACGTAGATATAAAATCATACTATGCATAAAATACAGCTATAAAAAATATCAAAATGTAATAAATTATTCCAATACTGAATGATGATGTTTTTTCCTACACAAGTGCGGGGCGAAATGACACAGCAGATCAACTAGCAAGCATTGTGACGTCCATGTAAAGATATCCTTCGACAGAAATTTCAACTGTTAGGATGTTCAAGAAGTAGAAACGCGAAGGCAGGTTATAATAACGATCTGAATACCTACTTCACCTGTAGCGGAAAGCAATTTCGTTTGAAGTGAATAGAAGTGTAACAAATTTTGGGGCAATAAAAATAAGAAATGTAGGAAATTAATTCAAGAAATAGACCAAACTTTTTTCCCATATACAAGAATGAAGTCTACAAAGGATATGTATTGAAGTTTGAATTCATGTATGCACGACTCGCCTGCAGATTAGGTACAGTGGGTAATGAAGTCTATGGGGAGGAAGGATTGTGAAATGGGAGAGGGCGAATATCGAAAACCGAAAAGAGCAAAAGAACGGTTGAAAGCAACACAATATACTACTTCAAATAAATAGATTATTTGGTCAACTGTGGCACAATTCAGGTAGGAATTAGCATCATGGAAGCGATAGAAAAGCGTAGAGCGATTAATAATATAAACTTGAGAGATTGTTCATATGAGAGACTGACAAATGAATGAAGTAAAATGAACGTCTTGGACCATTAACCCAATCTTAAGGCTAGTTAAGGAGAAGCATCTATCTCAGACGAATTTACTCAGTCAAACTCAATCACGTTCGCGAGTGTATCATTCGATGTCAAGGAGAAAACAATCGCGCTCAAAGAACCGAATTATTCGAGTCGTACAAGGTTACAAAGCGAGTAGCACAAATACCCTGAGATTATTGAGTTTGACCAAGTAGCCGCCAGGTTAGTCAAGCAAGTCATTGAGTTGAACAGCTCAGTTACTTGAGGGTACTCACCCTCCTGAGCCTTGATGGGCGGCGGTGGAACATAAGATGGCAGGAGAGTGCCTGGAGGCGGAGGAGGTTGTTTACTGCTGCAGCTCGTCTCAGCCGCCGCTGCCAGGTATTTGTCAGGGTTGAAAGGCTCGCCGTCCGTCTCGAACTCCGTGCAGTTCTTGAGCTCGACCATCTCTTGCTTGACGGGTAGCATCTCAGAGTCGCTCTCGTTGGCAGAGTGTGCAGAGTCCTCAGTGTTGTTAGGAGTGTTGGGCGTGTCTAAGAGGAGTGATGCAGCTGCTGTAGATGTGTTGTTACTGTTACTACAGCTGCTGCCAACCGAGACTGTGGGTGCAGCTGGTGCAGATGCGGGACTGTTGGTTGCTATTGAAGACGAAGCTTCAAGACTCAAGCGCGGCCTCTTAGGACTGGTGCCGGTATTGTCGCCGCAACTGCTGCTGCCGGATGCGGTGTTGATGTTACCGCTGCCCACGCATGGAGAATCTTGGCCGTCCGTGCAGGACCGTAGAACTTTTTGCTGCGAACAACAAAATTTACATTGTACTTCATTTGTACCAGAAGCAGCCAACATACAACTTCTCTGATAGCATGTTATATTTTGGTGTGATCATCTGACGCTTTTCTATCATTGCTCAGAAGCTATAGAAGTTTTCTAAAGAAAATGTAGCATAGTCAAAAGGTGTGAACACCCGACGGAACAACATTCTCATGAAAACTTCAAAAGTCTACGAAATGATCACAGTCGCGCTACCAAAATTACAATGAGAACATTAGGGTAGAAAAGTAAGAATTGTTACAGGTTTTGGTAACCCGTTGGACTAGGTAAACGTTACACCGAAACTGTGATGACAATAACGGCTCCCTACGTCAACGCAGGCCAGATACCCATACGAGTTACCGCAACGCGTCCTATGAAGCGACATCTCCTGGCCCCCCAACCCACGACGCGGGGGCGTTAGTAATGCAACTCTCCGCGTGCCAGGCCAAGATAACGAATGTTGTCACAATACAGGTAACAAAGGTCGCCACAATTGGCCGGTACTTGATGATGCAGACGAAAGAACTGTCCTCTACACTTCATATCAGTCTCATTCTCAATCTTCGGCTACGATGGATTTTGAGAATTTAATTGGGTCTCCAATAGTTGCATTCAAGATGTTTAAATATGCATGTTAACGCTCTGGGCATTAATTTTGGAGTATTATTGATCAACATTATCACTGGATCTTCATTGATTTCGAATTCAACAAAGTGTTGGCAATTTTCCCTCATAATAAATCAAATATATAAATAAATGTGAGGAAGTTCTCTTAGTCGTATTAGATAGCAAAGATTTGCCTAAGTTCAACTTAAGAAACACATATACCCTCAACCGCCGCACCCACAACGCAACCCGCAACTGCTGCATTTGCAACGTCTTCGACGAAGCGCTCAGCCATTTAATTACATCGCATACAAACATTGCAGGCCATTTTAATTACGCCACATACAAACGTCGCAGTCACCGTGGTATGATTGTAACGCGTAGCTGCGTCTTGATAGTCCAGCTACAACAGACCTCAACTATTGCGATTAATCCTATAGACACACAAGTATGAATGAGTCAAATAGCGCATCGATGACTTCCACAGTATAAGTTGAACCTGACTTTTAACTTCCCTCAGCCCAAAATTAAATCAAGAACAATTGCTCAATAAAACGTACGTCAAGTTGCGCAGATTTTCACAGATCTTAATGGTTGATGTTTAAAAAAACGAAACGAAAATCTCTGAAATAAAAACCTGAACTTCATACTAGCCAGTACCTATCGACTGCACCGTTGAAAATTATAATAATACATAGCAATTAAGACGCCGATGAACGAACTACTGAGTACTGACCGGGCCGTCTCACTAAATTGGTTACAAGTTCTTACCTCCGGTTATCAATCTCTGACGGCTTTTCAAGCTAAACCCACATATCACAGACGAGAAATAAGTCGATACGTGCACATGGGTCGCTACGTGTACTAGCGAGTTATGTTAGCACGCAAAACACCTCAATAAGCCTAACTCCGGAATTAGAACGAACCTTTTCGCTGTCATCGGCGAGGCCCTTGATCTTGAGCATCTCGGCGGTCTTGAGGAAGCGTGCAAGGTTCTCCTGTAGGACGTTCACCTCGCCCTGGTAGATGAAGTGCAGCAGCTTCTCCATGTCTGAGTGCCGCACCTCGGGGGGCAGGATGATGATCGGGTGCGGGCACGGGTACAGCTGCATCCAAACAACAAGTCTCACAATGACGAAAAAATTCAAATCCGACCAAGAAAATGCCTTAGTACAATTTTTTATAAAGTAAATTATATTAAATGCAGAAAGAGAATACAACTCTTCCATATTAGTAAGAGACCAATAAATGACGCATATCGTTGTGCTATGTCCGGTGGTGTTGGTTTGTTTGAAGCTTGGTGTTGGAAAAACAAAGGCGTTATTCGGGCACGTATTCACGATACCCGTTGCACCGAGATATTGACAGAGAATGCGGCTACCAACAAAAAATATTTTCTCTGGTATTTACAAGAAATAAGTTGTCATTTTGCACATTTGAGGGGCCTAAAGCACAACGTGGAATGAGAAAGTTGTGCCCAGAGCTTTTCTGTTCAGTTTCTGCATGTGATCAGCAACAGCAACAACTCGGTCTGCAGAGAATAACTATGAAATTTGGTGGACATAAGTGAAATAAAGTATACATTTATTGAAGTGAATTTCAAAGTTTCCTCATGAGCTGGGCTTACCCCCTACACGTGAAACCGTAACATTGGATTGTAATCTCTAATTGGGAACGTTATTTCGAAACCGCTCGGCATCGTCTAAATTGGACGTGCCCAGGCTAACACTTTAAAATCTATCAAAATTCGTGGAAATTTGAATGTTTGAAGTCCAGCACTATAAATGTACCGTATAGGGGCTGTATGTATGTATCAAGGAGTCGGGGTATAACTGTGACCCGAAATTCTATACCAAGTGGTGGAGTCATGCGACAGTACAAAACAGGGGAATTGAAGGGAGAGGGATGGATGAAAAATTTAATTTTTAATTTTGATCTGGTAGATCATTCCGAGTCAAGGAGCAAAATATTCAAATTCAAAAATCATAAATTTAATTTCGGTCCGGACATATCTTTCTCTGATTAACATAACCTTTCAAAAAATATTATTCAACGATATTCAAAATAACGGGATTTCATGATACGAGATTCGGGATAATTAAATTTGTCAAATTCAAAGATACCGTAATCCATCCCGAGCAACGCTGGGGTGAGCTGTTAGTATTATTTTTATAAAGAATTAACTTCATTGGTCTTTAATACCATGATTTATTCCAATATATTCAACTTCAGGAGGTTTCGTCGCATTAAATCTCTTGAAAGAAAGAGGTCGTATAAAACTCACTCGGGCTATCGAGCTCGAAATACCTGACGTGCGTACAACGATGACATTTTTTCTCTCATAACACTGAAGATAAATCAGCCTCCATCAATGATACGTGCTCTTCGAGTGCTATCTTATCTTTGATCGTGTCCCAAATATTGACGAGTTACCAACACATTTTTCGAGTTACTAACACATTAACAAAACGTTACTAACACATTAACAAAACGTTACTAACACATTAACAAAACGTTACTAACACGTTAACAAAACTGCAAAAAAATTCACGTCTTCATATTTTTGAGGTTTTTCAAGATTGTATTTACTCCCACAAGCTCTAGGAACAACTCGCAGAAATTTGGCGGGATTAGAAACTAGTAACAATAAAAATGTTGAGCAAAAAGCTGGACCAACAGAAAGCCGATTTCCGTAAATTTTCAACGGCTTCGCATGTCATCTTCGACGGAAGTTACATTAACCCGAGGGTCGCACATGTGCTCTCGGCTATTAGATAACAGGCAGATCCAAGTGGTTAGTTACAACGCGTAGATAAGAAGCGGCAGCGCTACATTCAGGCTTATCGGCGTATTGCGCAACGAACTAGTCAGAAATAAATGACATACCGTAGACCAATTAGAAAAAAACTATAAATTCACGATGCATTCGCAATTATTTCAAGGCTTTTGACGATAATAGCACAGCTTTGCAACAATATGATTGGAAATGATTAGTATGCGGTAAGAATCCTTAATTGTTGACATGCAAACAAATTGTTCAGTGATAGGCTGAGAAAAAAATACAATTTTCATGTATTCTTGAAATTTATTAGAAAAGAAATAAATCCGCGACTTTGTTCTGTACACACACAACTCTTTTCAGTGGCTAAATTAGATGTTGAATATTCAGTACAAATAATTACATACAACTCAAGTTGAAAATTTTGTTTTTGAGAGAGATAATCAGTTCAGTGGGATTCAAGTTGCTCCCAATTTAATCAGCTTTACTGCGTGGGGTTATTCCGATTGACGTTCTTAGAAGGCATGTCACAACTGGCATAGATTTCCAATATAAGTCTTTCACCATTAGAAAAAATTGAACTAGTTTCCATTTAATATTTCTGGTTATAAGAACGTAATTTGATAAAACAGCTCATTCATTTTGATGCCATCCAGTGAACTACCGTAACAAAACAAAAAAAATTAACTATTCAGAACTGAGCAAATTACTGTTAGAAGAAAATAGAACTGAACGAGTTAAGAAAAATACAGCCATAAACAATGGAAACAATACAGCGTACTGCTGGCACTTTCTCGTTATTTTATTGGGTTTGGGGCTTGCTGCTCTTCATGGAGCCTGATGGCAAACGAAATATTAAAAAAAAACTAGTGTTTGGGGGGGTTATAATGTGATGAGTCAGCCAGCTTGTCATCAAGACACCAACATAACATCTAAAGGATAAGAGATTATATTCGACAATTTCACATTTGGAGAGCAGGACGAGAAGCAAAATTTAATTTACGTTGAAATTAAGGAAGTTCAATTTGAAGTGGTATTAAAAAATTACACAAGTTAAGCATCTGCTGAAACATAAATGAAGAAAAAAGGATAATAAAATATTAGACAAAAAAAAATCTGAAGTGCTCTGTTCCGCAGGCTGCATCCAAAGAACGCACCTTTATAAGATCCCTGAAGAAGGCTGAGCAGGCTGAGAGGAGCATTTTATGGGCGACCAGGTACTTGCCCTCACAGCCAAGTGTTACGTCAACAAACATCTGTTCATTCTTGAAAGAATCCAAAGTTGATATGAGGCTTGAGTGGTAATTGTTCCAACGCAGGCAGAACTCCTGCGAGGTCTGTGGCACTACCACCGCCTCCTCCATCTCTCCTGCAAATAAAACGTCTTCATTAGGTCGGGATAATCTTGGCAAGGCATCACATTTACAACAGAAATAACATGGCCCATGATACAGGAAATAATTTGATGTGATACAACTAAAATTTGAGCAATTAAGAACTGAACGCACCTCAGGTATGAGGAAACACTGGACAGAACTCAGTCTATATAATTTTACTGACAACTTCTTGTTGGAAATATATGCTGCGTGTGTCCATTTCCAACAATGGAATGAAATGATGCTTGGTATTCATACTCAATGAATAGGTTCAGCAAATTAGATTACCAATTAACTTCAATGGCAGTACAAATTGTAGGGACAAAATTTTGGTTCAAAACTTCACCAACAACTTGCAGTAAACAATTACAAAGACATCACCGCTTTCATTGTGTGATGGGCGTTGGCAATTAATGTTATGTTACAAATATAGTTATGACGAAAGAAATCGATACCAATTCGAAATGGATTTCCGTTGGACCAGTGAACTATCAGCAAATACAAAAGCACTAGCAAGATATCCTAAGAAAAAAATAACAAAGTTTATTTTTGGTCTTCAAAATTACCCAGTGCAAAAAATATTCAGATCAAGGTAGCAGGAGCTGTTGTTGTTAAACAACAGCTCATATTGTTGTTTAACAGCTCTTATTGTTTTTAAACAACAGCTTAGCTAGTGGTAGCAAGAGCTGTTGCTATCTTGTTGCTACCTCGTGTTAAAGCTCGTTGTTGTTAAACAACAAGCAAGATGACAACAGTGACCATGACCTATGATCACAATTAAGAGTGAGTGTAAAAAAGACCATACAATGTTTGTTAATGATTGTTTATCAGCAAAGCATGGGACACCAGGACAACCACAAGACCCCATGACCAGGACAATGCAGTAAAATCAAGCTCACGGCAGATTTTTAGCAGTTATCTCCCCTCAATCCCACAACAACCACATTTCAGTCCCTGCAGCGCTTCAGGAAAACAAGCAGCTTTAATGTGGCAAATGAATGACCAGCAGCAGCTGGATTGAGCTTGTTAGCTCTGACTGACTGCTGGTCATTGCTTCTCTGAGCTCCCATCCAAAATAAGTTCTTGGCCAACAGTTGAGGATTTTTGATAGGTTGTCTATACATGCTTTCTTCCATTTACCTATGCAATTTTAATAGCCTATTCATTCATTTTTTTTTTGTTGCAATGAGAAGTCACATTGCATGTGACCACACATGTCGTGACATATACCACATATGATTGCATGCATGTGACACTATATATATATACCACAAATGACTCATATTCCTTCTTTTCTCCCTATGAAAGTAGCTTGCTTAGTATTTTTAGTAATTTAATCTTCTCACAAGTATTAACCACAGTGAAATTTTACTAATAAAAAAAGTCTATTATGAAGGGCCTTTTCAATAGTTTCCTTCTTCTGCAAACCTGATTTTCTAGTTAATTTTTAATATGTGAATAAAGAGACATTTTTAGTCAACACTCTGGTTGCAGTGCACAACCATATGGTGAACTTGCCAGGCATGCAGTCACGCAAGTAAAATATATATAGTATATGCTTCAAGTAGAAATACACATCACCTGAGATACACACTGCCAACATGGCCAGTGTATACCAAATTTGGCACCTTAATTCATCATTGTTTACTGAATGAAATACCCTAGTAGTGCTGCTCAGAATCATTATTCATGTCTGTTTGGAAGTTTTTCGGAATATTTTGCACATGAAGAAAGCAATCCATTCAACTTCAATTGCCTCATATTTATGTAAAAATGCCCTTCATTTCCAAAACCCTTCATGAAGAATAACTACAAATCTCATTGCCTTTACTGTTGAGCTACTTTCAAATGAGATCTTTTCATGGTGTTGGATCAATAATATATTTTGGCCATTTAGATCAAGAATAAAGTAGGTCATTTAGCAAACTATATAGAAATTTTTACTGTGAAATAACTGCTCCATGTGTTGGCACTTAACAGTGCTCATGTCAGACTGGCATCAGCATTCTACATCCTACAGAGGTTAGTCTTCCATATTTGGTATTTTTTCCATCTAAGTGTTTCCAACAATGTTTGTCCCAGTTGGCAATAAAAACTGGGACAATTTTCAGCACTCTCTGGGAATTCTGGGACAGTGCCAAAATGAGGCGTCCAGATTAAAATAGGAGTTTCAAACTGTTTTTTAATTTTCATCCTTGACAACAACACATAATGAGGCATACTAGTTAATCCTTACTAAATAATTAGAATAGTAAATTGTTTCAGACATTATCTGATCAATATTTCATCTGTTTACAACATTTCACGCATATTACTAGGTAATATGCGTGAAATATTTGCAAGGCGATGCCATCGAAGCTCGTAACTAAAACAGCAAATAAAAAGCCCGTAAAGCTTAAACTTCTGACAATCACAACGATATACTGTACGTATACTTCGCACTGGCATTATAGTATACAGTCGTGATTTGAAGCTCGGGCGGAGCTACGAACGCATTTATCTCACACCAAATTTAGTAAAATTACTTTCTAAACGAGGAAACTCGTCCAATACCACACTGTAAACGTTACATGTTACAGCGAACCGCGTCAAATTATATTATTTCAAATTATATTATATTATTCAGATATTACTTGCCTATCTAGGAAATTTGAAGGGCCAGAGTGAATATAAGTTGAATAGTATAAGTAATAAATGCACAGCAGGAGTAATTATTACATAATTTTACGTCATTTTGATTTTAATGAAAAAAATTGTGTGCAAATGAGAAGCTTAAGTATCTCAGTTCTAAACAGATCTGCACAAAACTTAAAAACAATTCTCATTAATAGCCAGGCTCTGCAGTAGGAATTGAAGGAAAATTTTTACATTGCTCTTCATTTTATTCAACACTAGTCAGAATTAATTGTCATTAATTACAGGCTAGTGGACTGGTAATGCAGGGTTACCTACTGCCTGCTTCAGGGGCTAATAGCAAGTAGCAGCCAGTAGCTGCCAGTTGTGAGCCAACTTCAAGCCAACAAGTTTATTAAACAGACATCTGTCAGGAAAACCTGTATGCTTTTATTTTAACAATCTTTGGTTTAAAATTAAATGACCAACACAGGTCAAACAAACTAGCTCATAGCATAGAGAAGTGCTTTCTCTACTTGGTTGGGACTAATAACTGCCATCGGCAGTAGCCAATAGGTGTAGTGATGACATAAGACTTTCTTCAATCCTTTGCTTGAGTGTAAACTTTGGCTTTAGCTAACCGACACTATTTGTATACTATTCTCCTGCACGTCTCGACTTCGAAATTCAATAAAGCTTCATCTTCAGTGCACATGTCAAGTTTGTCGAATACCAATCTATATCTGTTTTAGCCAGCATTATGTTTCTCCAGCTTTAGAACCAACCAGAGTCAGGACAAAGAAGGTGTCTATGCATGGCCGATGTGTTGACAGCATTAACCTTGTAAATATTGCCGCCAAAGTTTGCATCAACTATTGACCTGGTTTATACCTCGGTCATTGTGGGAAATGTCTGTTGTTTGCTCCTTAAAGTATTTCCAGTTATCACTTCTGATTTGTGCAATTTTGCTTTGCTTGAGAAACCCATCCACATTCTACTAAGTGGCTGACCAATGCACACTGAGTCACCAACTCACAATGAAGGCAGCAAGCAAACGAAACTTTTAAGGCTCTTGTTATATGCAATTCACGGCACAAGAGCAACATCATTTACTAAATATTCAGCCATACATCACTAAATCTGCCCACTAATAATTATTTATCTGCAAAAATAGTTTGGCAGCCAAATGTCACCAAATCAACCCATGACTGAAAACTGCTTGTTAACAATCAATTGCTAACTTGGTAGGTATTCCTTAACCAAGCATTTTGTATGCTTTATTTTTGTATAGTAAGGAATATCTTGTTTTGCCTTAAATTTTAGGACATGTCTTGTCTCATTAATTAAGTCACGTATAATTTTATATTTATCTCATATCATTTCATAATTATTGGGAAACAAGTTTCAAAGTCCAGGACACAAGTCATGTTTTGGTTCATATGTTTATTGACTTTATTCCAGGACAAATTTCACCCTCTGTCCATCATTTTTTTGCCCCCAAATTTTTCGTCTTGTCCTGGCTCTTCGAGAAAATTTTTCTGACACACAGGAGTGAGGAGTCAAACTGTGAGAGGTACTCAAGCTTTTCCCTGCTCTCATGCATCTCATTTCATGTCATGTAGTTGTTGCAATGGCAGGCAATAAACTCACAGACAATGCAATAAAAAAACTAATAGGAAAATAAACTTCAGGAAATAAACCAGCAATGATGATGTTCTCAGGCACAGACCCACATGAATGATTTAGCATTTCCTCACCATCAGTAACATCACCACAATATCAAGCAGTCAGATTTGTTGTACATGGAAATGGCTTTGCTCCAGACAAGAAATTTTGCTTTTTTTATTCTCATACTTTTTATAAAAACGGTTTCAATTTCTGAATTGTGCATTTGAAAACTGCACTTGATAGAAAACAATATATATTAATGTCTGGTAAAATAATTTTGGCATACATAAGATGGAAGGCATCTAAATACTCAACAGAATAGAGGGCAAAAATAATTGAGCACAAGGTTGAAGCAAGATATGAAAACCAGAGGCAATTAGTGTGAAGCCATCACAGCCTATTCATCAAAGTGGAAAACTTGGCACTATATATGTATCTACCATTTCCTTTTATTTGAAGTGGGATTATCCTATTAAAAGTATCTACTTTTTACCAAACGATATAATGAGGCACAAGATAATATTAAACAAGTGGGGAAAAAAAGGTCCCTCTTCTAAGGTTTGAAAATGATCAAAACTTTTTTTTTTAATTAGTAATAAAAAAGTTTCTGCACAAGACTCCATTGAAATTTTTAACTCACCTCTTTGCTGTTCATTAGCCTCATCTTCATTTTTGGCATTATCAAAATTTTCTAAAGTTACATCCATGTCTGTCTTGCAGCTGGCTTTATAGTTCTCCAGTGCTTTGAACTCAGCAGGATGGGCGCGAAGTAGGTGCTTACGCATGCCAGATGTGTTACCATCACTGACCTTGTAAATACTGCCACAAAGTTTGCATTGACTACACGCCTGGCTTATAACATGATCATTGTGAGTCTCACTTGTTTTTTGTTCCTTAAAAAATTTCCAGATATCACCTTTGCTTCGTGGCATCTTGCTGGTTATTTGATTATCTGACTTAATTTGAACAATAGTGAGTATTAAGATTGCTATCTTTCCAAAAAAGTAGTGCTACAGCCTGGCTATTTTCTGCAAAATAAGAGTTCAGCAGTGCAGTTGACAGCCAAATGTTCAGAAATGAATATTTTATTGCAATAGCGTTATGCATTTCTTTCCTGCTGGCCCAATCAAGTTCATTTATTAGGTACCGTAAAATGGGGTAACTTTGACCACATTTTTTTTCAAAATGATTTTTTCACTAGATAAGTTAAACTTAAATTAAAATGTGCAAAATGCAGGTCTATACTCTAGCTTTACTTGCCATAAATTGCTGGCTCCTGCCTCTCATAGTTTTGATGTAATTTAAAAAAAGTGATGGTCTTTGTTACCCCAGCTCTTGGGGTTTCTTTGACCGGGTGGTAAAATCTATTTCATTTTTTGGTAAAATAACTCCAGGTTGTGGTGCATTGTAGTAGAACTCTTCTAGTTACATATGCAAAAGATAAATTTAAGGAAAGTGTCATAGTTTGCAAATGGGGGGCACCGCCCCTCAATGGGCAAAATGTGACCACCTAATGGCAGCCGTGACGGGGTAACATTGACCGGTTTGGAAATTAAGTTAAAATTACCATATATAAGACTCTGTAGAGTCTGAAACATAAAGAAAAAANCTAATGGCAGCCGTGACGGGGTAACATTGACCGGTTTGGAAATTAAGTTAAAATTACCATATATAAGACTCTGTAGAGTCTGAAACATAAAGAAAAAAATTAATAGGTGTATCAAACATAAAATATATTATATAGGTACCTATGGTAATTTTAACTTAATTTCCAAGCCAGTCAATGTTACCCCATCACGGCTGCCATTAGGTGGTCAAAGTTCCCCCATTGGGGGGCGGCACCCCCATTTGCAAACTATGACACTTTCCTAAAATTTGTCTTTTGCATATGTAACTAGAAGAGTTCTACAACTACAATGCATCAAAACCTGGAGTTATTTTACCAAAAAATAAAAAAATTGGAGGAGGTACTCCTACAGGCTTTAAATAATAGCTCTTTTTCGTGGGTCACATTATTAATTTTTTAACCTATTAGATATGCAAACTTTTTAAATCTTTCTATTGTGTTATGTAGCCTCAGTATTAGACCTTTGATAGCCATTGACAAAATTTTTCTATGCCAAATCGTTTTTGAGTTTTGGGGGTTTTTGTTAAAAAACAAAAAGTGGTCAAAGTTACTCCGCCGGTCAAAGTAACCCCATTTTACGGTACCAGTTATGCTTGTTTATTATTGAAATTATATTCTATTTGGCTATTGTTTTTTTTTTTAGAAATTTTGAGTAGTAGTTATATATATTCATCACTTTCAACATCAGCCAAAGGCAGTCTTATTTATGTATATGCTACACCAATATTTTCTTCACCTTACCCATTAATTCAATGGATGCCAATTCATTGCTTTCAATTGTTTTTTTTTTTTTTTGTGTCTGCAAATCAAGACTTTGAAAATGGATTTGAAGCTAAAATCTAATGAATTGCTTTCAATTTTTTTTTGTATGGGTGCAAATTCCAGGAACTAACTGCTTCAAAAGAGCCGTTGCATCTTGGAGAGTAGATCTTTGCTATGCATGTGAGAAATTCAAGTAAATTTCACAATGTTTGGGTCAAAAAATTATACTAAAAATAATAAATTCTCTGATCTTTGTCCTAACCAGAATGTTCCTAACTCCCCCTACATTTTAATATAAATATCAATAAACTAAACAATCTTACATCCCACAATGTCTCATACAATGTGCTCACGCAGCGTCTTCCATTAAGGTGGGACTTGGCATCAGGGACCCAACCTCAAACAGCGTGTAACAGGGTCAAATTTTCATTATTAAGACAACCTGGAGTCGAATTAACCTAACCTTAGTTTCTCCCAAATAGTTAGTCAAGGTAGACAAAACCATGTCCAAGAGCACAGTCATCCTTAAAAGGAAAAGGCCTGCAGTCCTAAACCCAGCCCAAGTTCTATTACCATGTGGCCCTGCTATAAAAAAATAACTTGGCACTCCACACATAACCCCAGATTCCATTAGCTTAAATGACCAGACGTCCTAAATCTAAGCTGTCGTTAACCAGGCAAGTCTCATTCGACAGCGGAAGGGACCCGAAAGGGTCCCACCACGAGCGCGGAAGATCCTGCTGCATCCGCGGGAGAGGCGCCTTGGGTTGCTTCACAACCCGCTGCACCTCACAACCTCTGAGGCGCAGCGGGTTGTGAATGAAGCTTCATCAGAATCAATGAAGCACCTGGATTACAGAGGCCGAAAATGATTAAAAATTGAACGCAACACCGTATGACCTGAAAATTTATAAAATGGAGCAAAAAACGAGTTGCAGGAGACACTTCTTTCTAAATATTGACGTAATCGGAGCCACAATGGAGTGAGATATACTTCAATCAACATCAATACCCATAATGGCCCCATTTATGATCGAAAATAATATATTCGCAACGAAAATCGGACAATCACTTTCACTTAAACAGTTCAGTCTCACCGTAAATGGAAGAATAAAATCGATTAAAGCACCAAATTATTCAGCAGAGACTGTGCTAGTTACCATCTATACAGGAAAGTTACAATAAGCAAGCTTCGGCATGTAGCAATTGACCTCGCGGAACGCGACAAATTCTCGGCATGTCATTTTCAACGACAAATTGCGGCCGCTTTAGGAGGAGCTGTGACGTGTGTCACCCATCGTCGTGTAGCTTTTGATGTGAAGAAACTTTAGCAAAAAACCCGAAACAGATACGATACCTCATTCAGAAGTTATGTCGAAATTACGATTCGGGGCCAATCGCAAAATACGCAACTTTGACAATCATTTTTTTCTGGAAATATCAAACTCCCAAAAACGAAACCCACATCAATGGGTAGATATTACTTGTGAGAAAACGTGTGTAAAGTTTGAACATGATCATGAAACATGAAGCTGAGATATATACGAAAAACCGTCATTTTCTCGCAAAAATCATGTTTACATGTAAAAAATATATAGTAAAATCTACTTTTACGAAGCGAGTCATATATCAAAATGTTCATCAGCACCAGCCGCGTGCACATGTGAAGTTTCATTCAACTGCTTCGGTTTTACCAGGAGTTATTGACGCAAGACTGCGATTTTTGCAAAAACTCGACCGAACTTTTGAGTTTACACGACATTTTTTATATGAAAAAAAAATTTTTTCGACTCGAAACCTAAATAAATAGCTTTAGAATTTATTAGGGAGGAGATTAGAAAAAGTTTGAACCAAATCGGAGCAGGCGTTGCCGAGTTATGACCGAAAAAGCAACATTTTACCCCCCATTCCGCGATTTCCTGGGTTGTGAGTATAAAGTTGAAAGATACAAGTATCAATACGCGTAGTGGCGCGGGGTAAAACCGGGGGGACCCCGAATTTTACTGTCAACAGCAACCAGGCTTAGCTTCCGAGCCTAAGAGATGAAACAGGCAAAATGGTGAGCTTACAATACCCTCGGATTAGCCTCTGTTGTTTCCGCCCTCGTGCATACACACAAAGGCCCTCAAACTCCAACAGCCAGAATTTCAAATGCTTGTTGAGAATTCGTCCGTAAGTCGAAGTTTATTTATTCTAAGATGGAAATGCAAATTGAATGTGAGAGAGATTATTATTGAGTAAAGCTTGTTTATCGACCAAGGTATATGCTTGCGGGTGTTATTTTAATATCCAGATAAAAACATAAGTTGTCAGTTCTAAACTGCGTTCTTTTGTCTCGCAATCTTTGCATTTTTATCAACATTAAAATGATTTTTGGCTCGCAAAATTACATGAAATTAAGTTAACTCAGAATTGAAATGAACGGATAAATGCGTGTTCATCTTGTTGAACTATTTCACATTTCCTGTCAAATTTCTCGCTCACATTTATTTGTTATACTTAAAGAATGATCAATGTTTCACTTATTCGGGTCGACCCATGAATTTTGTTTTGAATGCATGATTAACTTTTAGTCTGATGTACTCGTATATAATTGAACGCAAAATAAATCGATTGTAGTGTTTGAGTTGGCGCCAGTAAAATCAATGTAAAAACCCCGTACGAAAATATTAATACGAAAGAGCAGTAGCACAGCCAAATAAAAATTCTTCAAACGGGTCCATAGAAGCCGTAAGTATATACTGTCCACGAAGACCTTGTTTTTAGCGCATTTTCTCACTTATGGAAAAAAATACACTATTGTTCTCGTCCGTCCGTGGCCTCAAGTTTTCGTCGATGCGAAAATGCGTTCTCTATCACTCACTGCAGTGAGTACTGAGTTATATTTTTTCTCCATGCATTTATTGGACAGAATACAAATAATTCATTCATGTGGCTCACGAGTTATACCGCAAAGCGAGTGAATTACTTTTATCTGACGTCTGTGTTGGAATAGATTATTGCGGCGCACCTCGTTATTTGTGCATGGTATATGACAGGCAAAGCTCTTCCGAGCGATCTGAGCACAAAGGAGGTCCAGGCGACATCACAATTACGGTCGACAAGACGCCACTTCCCAGGGCCACGTTTACGGACTTTTTAGCGCATTTTCTCATTTATGGAAAAAAATGCACTATTGTGCTCGCCATGTCTGTCCGTCCGTCCGTCCGTCTGTGTGTCTGTCCGTGACCTCAAGTTTTCGTCGACGAGAAAATGCGCTCTCTGTCACTCACTGCAGTGAGTACTGAGTTACATTTTTTAAGGCATGGAGTGAAGAGGACGTCATTCGTAGGTCGTAACGCGTAGGCCGTAGGCTTTAATCAAAAGTAGAATTTTGGGTGCAATTATAATTGCATTTATTCTTACTCAGTTCGTTCCATTTTTAAGATTACAAGTAGCAAGGAAAAAGGTTGAAGTAAATTTCCAGAAATTTTGAAAATTTATGAAAACGAATTCCGAAATATATACTCGAGTGTAAATAAAGCTGTTATAGATAAAACACGTGTGCAACATTAGAAAACAGCGAACATTAGAAAACAGCGAAAATTGAAAATTCCAAATATCATGCTTCGTCCGGTGATTTCTGTTTGGGCAGAGCAAAG